CCCATGGTATGGTGAGCCTCATCCAATCAGTTGAAGGCCCTAATAGAACAAAGACTGACCTCCCCTCTCCCCTCCCCTAAAAAGAAGGAATTCAGCCAAAAGACCACCTTTGGACTCCAACTGCAACTCTTTCCTGGGTCTCCAGCCTGCCTGCCTCCCCCTTCAGATTGTGGATTTGCCAAGCCTCCACAGTCACATGAGCCAATTCCTTAAAATAAATCTCTCTTTCTCTGTACACATCCTGTCTGCTCTGTTTCTCCAGAGAACCCTGACTAATGCAGCCAGCGCCCCCAAAAATGAGTGGTCCCCAAGCTCAGCTGGGCCACCACCATCAGACAGCCTTCTTCAAGGCCCTTGGTAGCCATGTCCTCCTCTCCCCATAAATAGCTACTCAAACTCTCATCCTTCCTCAGACCCCAAACCCTTCTCCCAACTGAGTTTTCTACTTCCTAGAGAGAGTGGAGGTCATCAGGAAGGAACTACCTTAATTTGCTCCTTCCCTCCCCCTTTCTCCCCCACCCTCTCCCCCACAATTTCTCTGCATTGTTGCCCAATCTTTTCTCTCTGTTGAGAGAGAGAGAGTCATTCCTATGGCTAAAGGCTAATACCTCCACCTCTTATCTGAACACCATTTTTTTCCCTCCTCCAGAAGTCTCTACATCAGTCACACCCCTTCCCCTTCTGCATCTTTACCTTTTTTTAAAAAAATATTTTTATTTATTTATTTGACAGACAGAGATCACAAGTAGGCAGAGAGGCAGGCAGAGAGAGGGGAAAGCAGGCTCCCCACTATGCAGAGAGCCCGATGCGGAGCTTGATCTCAGGACCTTGAGATCATGGCCTGAGCCAAAGGCAGAGGCTTAACCCACTGAGCCACCCAGGTGCCCCCCCACACCACGATTTTAACCATTGCTCACTTTCCCTCTCTTTATCACCCCCTCCCCGTTCTGTGCCCCAGACTCATACACCCAACCATGAAAATGTCATTTTCATCGAATTTCCCAAGATATCTGTGTGAGTTGTCTATTGGCAGCTTATAAAAAAAATATTATTCTGAGTATCTTGTGAAGTCGTAGCAAAAGATGTCAGCCTGGGCCACAGTCATCTGAAGGCTCGACTGGGGCTGGAGGTCTGCTTCTAGGCTTGCTCATTCTCACGGCTATTGTCTGGAGACCTCAGTTCCATGCTGGATGTGGGCAGGAGGCCTCAATCCTTTGCCACATGGACCTCCCCATAGCAGCGCTCCCACGTCCTCCAGAGTGAGTAATCCAGGAGAGAGCAAGGAGAAGGGTGCATTCCTTCTCTGATGTAGCCTCAGAAGTGATCATTGCTTCTGCTGGATTCTGCTGGCCACACAGACTAACCCTGACCCAACGTGCTGATCCGTTACCGCTGCCAATCCCTTCCCACACTGTTCCCAAAATGTTCTTTCCACAATTAAAACTCTTTAAAGGCTCTCTGTCTTCTTCAGGGTAAAAATCAAACTCCTTAGCACAGGATACAAAGCCTCCGGTGACCCAGCTGGTGGCTGGAGGTCTTGTCCTGCACATCTTTGCATCCCTCTTTCTAGCCAAGATATATTTGTTCACAGTTCCCTGAAGGTGTCGGGATAATTCACTTCTCTGAGCCTTTTCATACACTGTTCCCTTTTTGGAATATCCCCTTCTGCTTATTTCAACTGGTTCATTCTCCAAAACTTAGCAACTTGAGAGCAGGAGTGGTTCCTTGTCCTCTCCGTATCTCATCTATCATGGCGCCCACCACAGAGGACTTGTTCAACAAATGTCTCCTGAATGGAAACACGAGTGGGCAGGCAGTTCCTGTGTGCCTGGGGCCCCGGGGGCTTGCTTGGTGTACAAGGTACAGCTGGCCCATATCTCGTCACTTTCCTCCTCAGCCTACCTTTCCTGCCCAACCATTGCCCTCTGTATCAATGACACAGTTGGAAATCCAAATTCTGGTGTCTGGGTTCCTTTTCTTCTTCTTCTTCTTTTTTTTTTTTTTTAAGATTTTATTTATGTATGTGAGAGAAAGACAGACAGAGAACAAGGGGTGGGGCAGACAGAGAGGGAGAAGCAGACTTCCTGCGGAGCAGGGAGCCCAATGCAGGGCTTGAGCCCATGACCCTGAGATCATGACCTGAGCCGAAGGCAGACACTTAACCGACTGAACCCCTGACTCCTGATTTTTAAAAAATTAATTACTGTATTTATTTTAAGAAGGCTCCACATGCAATATGGGGATTAAACTCATGACCCTGAGATCAAGAGTTGTATGCTCTACTGAGATAGCTAGATGCCCCCAAATTCTAATTTCTATCCCACCTCATTAGCTACTAGCTCTGGAACCTCAGGAATCTCATTTATTGCCTCTGAGTCTCTAGTTTTCATCTGCAGTAAGGGTTAAAGGAGAGGATAAGATGAATTACTTAAATTAATATTTATTGAACCAGATATCATGCTATGTACTCTTAAATAAATTAGCTTGAGTGATGGTCGTAATATCTCAGTAAGACAGATTTTATACCCTTTCTACAGAAGAGGAAACTGCAGCTCGGAGTACCTAAGTAGGTAACATGGCCAAGGTCACAAAGCTGGAAGAAGATCTGGGGTAAGTGGTTACATCATAGGGAACATTAGAAAAAAGAAAGGAGCATCCAGGTCTCTTCCAACCCTGCATGACACAAATTTTTATCTTTCAGCCTTTTCCTCAGATCTCAAGGATAGAGGCTCTGCCACTTCCCATGAGACCAACATTCGGCGACACTGCATCTTGCTTCTTGGTCCAAGTCCCCGGGATTCCCCCAGTCTGCTCCTGCCAATTGTGACAGTGATCTCCAGCATTCCTTCCACACCTTTGTTTTAAAGCATTTTTACACCTGTCACATCTCGCTAGATGACTGAAAAGGAACAAGTCTTCCCATTTTATAGGTGCGAAAACTGAGGTTCAAAATGACTCACCTCAAGTCACATGGTACCACTTATCAACAGGAAGACAATAGTCCCCATCAGAGGCTCCCAGGCCCATGGAGTCAAGTGGGCATGGTTCTTTTTCTTTTCTTTTTTTTTTTTTTTAAAGACTGTATTTATTTATTTTGAGAGAGAGAGAACGAGTGATGGGGAGGGATAGAGGGAGAGGAAGAAGCAGTTTCACCACTAGCAGGGAGCCCAATGTGGGGGTAGGGGGAGCTCCATCCCAGGACCCCGGATCATGACCTGAGCCGAAAGCAGACACTTAGCCAACTGAGCCACCCAGGCGCCCCAGTGGACGTGTTTCTAATGGACTGGCAAGGCAGAAAAGCTGCATTATAGAATAAGAACCGCCGAATACCAGACAGACCTGGGTTCTGATCTGCGAGCCTCTGGCTATAGAACTACCACAGTTTGGAAACAGATACAGAGTACTATAATTCAGCAAGAGTAGGTCAGTTTTAGGAGCTGATCTTTTAGTTCAGGCAAAATAGAGAGATCAAGAACTCCCTGGAGGCAGAAACTTATTTTGCCTTTGTATTCCTGGTGCCTGGCACACTCTGGGTACTTCATGAATGTTTGTTGACTTGGGTATGGGATGTGGAAGGAAGGGGGCAGAAGAGTTCAGTGAGTTTAGAATTAAGAGTCCGAGGGGGGAGACAGCTTAGAGAGCGTGGGTTCAAAAGAGAGACCCCACAGGCATTTGTGGCCCTGGTTCCTTTCCTCCAAACTGCAAGGACATCCCCTAGAGGCCCAGGGTGCTGTGGCTTTAAATGACTTCAGCGTGTCAATGAATCTGCTTTGCTAAAAGAGTTATCCTCTTGCTCCTGCGCTTGGCCTCCCCCTCCTTGCAGCTCCCCAAACCCTTCTCGGCTGCTGTGATGGGATAATTAGATGCGAGAGCTCAGCACAGATGATGCTCCAGTTGCTTAGCAACTAATGGTTTCCATGGAGACCGCAAAGCACAGCCTCCAGAGCAGCCAGTGAGCAGCTCGGCAGGGCAGGGAGAAGACGCAACTCTCAGTTCCTCCAGAAACCTGGGGAGGGCCTGGGTGGGGAAGGGGGGCTGGAGGGAAAAGGGAGGGCTTAAAGGCACAGGACCCTGTTAGCCCTTTAAAATCCGGGCAGAGCTCTGCCCTGCCCTACCCTACTCTGTCCCACTCTAATTTCAGATGGGGTGTGGACAGAAGCGTGGACCCAAGACAACCCAGCCTGCACTTAACCCCCCCCCCCTTTCTGCTTCCTGGTTTGGGATTGGAAGAGATACCTCCCCAGCCCCAGGGTCCACATCCTTCCAGGTCAGTGATGGGATTTCAAGAGCACCAGGAAGATCCCCTCACCCCTAGGATGCCAGCACCTACTTTGTTCCCTCTCTCCAAAGTTCTCCTCAATGTGCAAATGGTCCTCTTTCGGTTTGTAGGATGGTGGTAGGCAGACAAAAGCCAAGGCACAGAAAAAACAGAATTCAATTCCTCACCCCAAGGCAGCCTGTCCTGAGAGACTGGGGAAAACACATCTGCCCCTCATCTCCTCCAAAGAGGATCTGTTGCTTGCGTGTGTGTGTGTGTGTGTGTGTGCGCGCGCGCGTGCGTGTAAGGGGCACAGCACAGAGCATGTGGTAATTCAAAGTCTGGGCCTCTCAGAAGAGGCAGTCGACATTACCTGGAAGCTTATTAGAAATGTAGACTTTCAGGCTTCACCTCAGACCCACTGAATCAGAACCTGCCTCTCAGTGAGATCCTCAGTGATAAATCATCCCCGGAAATGTGCACCAGCGCTGGTCTGAGAGCCTCCTACCCTCTGTTTGAGTCCATGAGTTCTAGCCTCACAGTCACCCTATGCTAGCACTCCAGCTTTGAAGCTCCCCCTCCCATCATGGGGGTAAGGACATAGCCCCCCCCCCACTTCCTTACAGGACCCTGGCCCTTCTCTGGGACTGGGGAAGAGAGAATGGTTCATGGCGTCCAGACATCCTTCAGGGATGTAGCTCTCGGCCCCTCCTAGTGAAGTCTCTCTCTGAGTCTGTTTCCACACCTACAAAAGGGAGCCAGTGACATGGACAGCCCACGGTGGCCAGAATGGTAAGTATGGTGACCCATGCCCTGTGCCCATTGCGAGGACTTTCTCCTCATCTCTCCTCGCTTTCCACAACTCCTCTCTCACTTCTGTCTGGTTGAGCCCAGGGGTGGAGGATGTAGTCAGAGGGGTTGTGTGTCTTTTTATTTTCTCCTGCCAGGTCTCGCTCTCCTCCATTCTCCATCAGTTTGACAATGGTGCTGACTGAGGCTGACTGCCCTTCTCTACGGGACAGGGCTGGTTCCCACCTCTCCTGTCTCTCTGAAAGTCTTCCCTAGCATCTCTTGGCCCCTCCAGAGAACTTTGACTCCCACACACTCCCTGGCATGGACACCCCTCTGCTTCTCCCCGAATAGCAGTGTCTGGGTCTTACTGGCCTCCGTGAATTGGAACCCTTGGCTCTGCTGCCCCCATCCCCTACTACCAGCCTCAGTTTCCCTCCCATCCTTGCTCGTCCAAGGCCCTGTCTGGGGCCCCTTGGCATTCATCTCCTCTTCTTGCACACCAGGACAATCTCAGAACTTGCTGCCCTTCTGGAAGGCTCCCCTCATCGTGCAGAGCCATCCTCAACAGGCCACACTTCCAGAGGCACGTGCAGGCAGGAATGCTCAGGCCCTAACATGTGGGAGTTCTAGGGGAAGGGGTGATTTCCACCCCCACCTTAATAACCCAGCCCCTCTGCAGCTGACTAAGCCGTCAAGATCCAGCCAGGGCATCCCCACTTCTGGCCTGAGAGCTGGCTCCCCGTCCTGAAAAACCTGTCTGGGGGGCCTGCCCTGAGGCTGTAGGGCCCAAAGGGCAGGTTGGACAGGATTTCCCTCCAGCCACTCCCACCCCAAGACAAAATCAGCCACCGCAGGGGCCTGGCCTCACTTGCCTCTGGAAGCCACAGCCAGCCAGCTCCTGTTCTAGCTCCCAGCCCAGCTATGGCATCCCTGCTGCCCGTCCGGACCTGGCCCTCGATCCTGATTCTGCTGACTGTCCTGGCCCTGGGGGCTGCAGGTCTCTGCCACCTCTGGTGGGGTGTGGGGAGGGACTCTGAGTCCACCGCAGGAGGCACTGTGCCTTCGGGGCCCTCGAAGAGGAGCTGGTCTGGCCAGTTGAGGGTGGGGGTCCGGTGATGGCAGTGACCAGGCATCAGTCACTGAGCCCAAGGCACACTCCTGGTCCTCTTCCAAACCCGGGAGGCAGAGAGGTTTGGGAAAGGGCCCCAGGCTAAGAATCCCGGTAAGTTTGGTGGCTGCCCCCTACTGGCATCCAGAGTCTGGCCGCTTGGTGGACGGCCCAGCTTCTGCAGCCCAAGCCTGCCACCTGGTGGTCAGATGAGCAAAGGCCTGTGTTCTGCCAACGCGGGGTAGAGTGGAAGGGGAGGCGTCTGCATCCTTAGAAATGGCCCCCAGAGGTCAGGGCCAGATCTGATGGTGGGGAAGGCGATTGGTTGCCCCAGCTCGAACTCCCTCTTGGCCCCCCAGCAGACTTCAACATCTCAAGCATCTCTGGTCTGCTGTCCCCGGCACTAACGGAGAGCCTGCTGGTTGCCTTGCCCCCTTGTCACCTCACAGGGGGCAATGCCACACTCATGGTCCGGAGAGCCAATGACAGCCAAGGTTTGCTACCCCCTCCCAAGGTGGCCCCCTGATCCCCAGAGACCCTACCCAGTACACCATCCACACCCCTTCCCCAGCTCCTGCCTTCCTATAACCCTTCTCCTGGGCCACCCATATTTCACCACCCATATTTCATATTCCATACTTCACCCCCAACTTGCTGCCCAGTGGTGAAATCTAGCTTCGTGGTGCCTCCATGCCGTGGGCGCAGGGAGCTGGTGAGTGTGGTGGACAGCGGGGCCGGATTCACAGTCACCCGGTTCAGCGCGTACCAGGTGACAAACCTCGTGCCAGGAACCAAATACTAGTAGGTCCCAGATCCAGGGCACCTGTGGGAGGGGGTGCAGGGAGAGAAGATGGGTCCTGACATTTGCTGGTGGGGAGGGATCTGGTCAGCTTGGGGTAAGAAAGTAAGGATACGGCTGAAGGGATCAAGAGCCTAGAGGAAGGCAGGGCTAGGAAGGGGGAGGCCTGGGCTCCCTCCCTCTTTTCCCAAGTCCCAGATAATCACTGAGGAGTCTCTCCTCTCTCTCCCAAACCCCTCCACAAAAGCATTTCCTACCTAGTGACGAAGGGGACATCCACTGAGTCCAGTAGAGAGATCCCAATGTCCACACTTCCTCGTAAGTAAATCAGGGCTCTCCAAATCTTCCCTGGCCCTCCCACCCCATCCCCACCAGCTGGCCTTCCCTGGGCTCCCGTAGCTTCTTTGCGTACCTGTATCCTAGCCCTGAGCCCTTGGCCTTTTAACAGCCAGTTGACTCATCTCATAAACTAAAGGTTCTCTGTGGGTAGGGATCGTGTCCAATCAGTTTCTGCGTCCTCAGTGGCCAACATAGAAGATGCTTCATAAACGTTTACGCGATGAATGTGTGGCTCAGCTGACTGGTTGGTTGAATAAATGGATGAAGGAAATTTGGGTGAACCAGAGAGCCTCGGGTCGGGACAGGGGCTCCTCGTGCCCACCAAGGCCTCCCCCGCCTCTTCTGACAGGAAGAAAGGTGGAATCCATTGGGCTGGGAATGGCCCGGACGGGGGGCATGGTGGTCATCACAGTGCTGCTGTCTGTCGCCATGTTCCTGCTGGTGGTGGGCTTCATCATCACGTTGGCCCTGGGCGCCCGGAAGTGAGGAGGCCAGCGCCAGGCAGCGGGCCTCCATGAGGTCCGGGACCCTGTCCATTTCCCCAGCCTGTGTGCCTGCCTCCTCTGCTGAAAAGACTACCTGCTCCCAGTCCTCAACCATGACTCTAAGGGGCTTCACTTCTCCTCCATGCCCCCTCTCACTGGAGCCTTTTCCTCCCTCTGCCCTCCCCTAGATCCCTGGTGCCTCTCCTCCCCACACTCCCTGTAATCCCCTCAGCCCACTCCTGTCAGAACTGATGCTCCTCCCACTTGACCTCTTTAATCTCACCGCCCCCCCAACATTTCACCCTTTCGTCAGTGACCGAAATCCCCTCAATAAAGTCTGACACCACATCTGCCCTGTGTTTCCCTTCTATGGGCTCCACCTGGGGGGAAGAGACTCCTCCTCAGGCATCAGGTGCTCCCCACCCCCTCCCTGCCCCACAACCCAGAGCGGCTTCTCTCAGGAGGCCGGAAGGGGCCCGGATGATTCGGAGTCAGGAGTCAAGGGTTCTCAGAACACACCTGGGCTGTGGGTTTTGCCCTGCTTGGCTGCAGGCAACCCAGCCGGCTTGTGGTGCACTGTGTGGGCGGCTCTGGAGGCCGGAGGGTCTCGGGATGTTGGCGGAGCAAAGGGAAGTAGTGGGATAAGGAGTACAGGCTCTGACTAGGGACAAAGAGGGCCACCTGGGTGAGACCCTGAACAGGACGCTGAGGGGTGGGAGAAGTGGAGAATAGGGTAAGGGAGACTAGGAGGAGGGAGCGGAAGTGGAAGAACCCTGGGTAGAGGACAAGAGTGGTACAGTCTGGTAACTGAGGGAAAAGAGCAGGAGTGGTCCCTTTTCCAATACATGTCCCTTGTAAGGATCAGTGACTTTTGTATTGATCTTAGAGGAAATACCAAGATCTTTAAGGTGATCTTCAAGACCAGCCCTAGTCTTTCCCCTCATAGCTCCTCCATTCTCACCATGTTCCTTCCAATAGCCTGTGTTGTTTCTTGCCTCAGGGCCTTTGCACAGACTATTCCATATGCCTGACTTGCTCTTATGACTGCCGCAAACCCCACCCCACACCTACCTATTTCACCTCCAGGGAAGCCTCTGACCTCCATCCCCTCGCTAGGTTCTCCTATCCTGTCTTTCATAGCATTACTCTGGTTTATAATTATGTTTATGTGGTTATTCGGTTGTCTCTCCCAGTAGACTGTATGTTCCCCAAGAGCAGTCATTTTGTTCCCAAGGGCCTGCAGTACCTGTCCTCCACAGTGCTGGGGGCATAGTAGGTACTCAGTAAATACTTGTTGAATAAGTGAATAAATGAATGAATGAAAGTACAGTCCCTTGAAGAAAAGGTGGGGACTGGGAAAGTGCCAAAAATTGTAAAAACAATAAAAAACAACAAACATAGAAGATGCTGGAACAATGGTCTTAACAATCCCTTTCTAGAGCAAACCAAGAGCCTGGGAGACAAAGGCAATGGAAGAGAGGAACAACAGTACTTATTCATTCAACAAACATTAACTGAGCATTTATTATGTACTAGGCACTACTAGAAGGGCTAGGAATAAAATGTAGCAAGGCATTGTTCCTCCTTCATGGGGTTTATGTGGAACTCAATGCAAAAAACAGATTCCCAAAAATGCGAACGAGTAAGTAAGTTAAATAAAAAATGTGATAAGTGTGGAGTGCCTGGGTGGCTCTGTTGGTTATATGTCTGCCTTTGGCTTAGATCATACCCCAGGGTTCTGGGATCGAGTCTCACATCGGGCTCCCTGCTCTGTAGAGAGCCTACCTCTCCCTCTCCCATTCCCCCTGCTTGTGTTCCCTCTCTCACTGTGTCTCTCTCTGTCAAATAAATGAATAAAATCTTTAAAAACAAAAGACTTTATTGGAGAGAGAGAGGGAGCACAAGCAGGGAGAGTAGCAGGCAGATAAAATGTCTTAAATGGTAGACTGATTTGAAAAGGCCTATTAAAGAGTAGATGAATTACAATAACTTTTTATTCAGTCTTTTATTATTTATTTATTTATTTGACAGAGAGAGAGAGAGATCACAAGCAGGCAGAAGGAGGCAGAGAGATGGGGGGGAGCAGGCTCCCTGCTGAGCAGAGAGCCTGATGCGGGACTTGATCCCAGGACCCTGAAATCGTGACCTGATCCGAAGGCAGAGGCGTAACCCACTGAGCCACCCAGGCACCCCTTATTCAGTCTTTTAAAAAATATTTTATTTATTTATTTGACATAGAAAGAGAGAGAGAGAGAGAGAGAGAGAGAGAGAGAGAATAAGCAGGTGGAGCAACAGGCAGTGGGAGAAGGAGAAGCAAGCTCCCGGTGGAGCAGGGAGCCTGATGCAGGGCTCGATCTCAGGACCCTGTGACCTTTTTTTTTTCCCCCAGATTTTTTTTTTTAGATTTTTAAATTTATTTATTTGTCAGAGAGAGAGAGAGAAAGATCGAGTGAGCACAAGCAGGGAGAGCAGCAGACAGAGGAGGAGGGAGAAGCAGGCTCCCTGCTGAGCAGGGAGCCCAATGCGGGGCTTGATCCCGGGACCCTGGGATCATGACCTGAGCTGAAGGCAGCCACCCAGGCATCCCCCCAGGACCCTGGGATCTTGACCTGAGCTGAAGGCAGACGCTTCACCAACTGAGGAGCCACCCAGGTGCCTCCCCCTTATTTTATTTTTTTTAAGTAATCTCCACAACCAATATGAGGCTTGAACTCACAACCCCGAGATAAAGCGTCTCATGTTCTACCCACTGAGCCAGCCAGGCACACTGAACACAAATTATTTTTACAATTAGAGAAGTTAGCATTAGAATTACTATTCGAGATAATAAAGGTAGAGTCCTAGCAAATTTTCAAAAGGGAAGCTGTTGTTTTCACTTTAGTTGAAACAACATTTATTGAGGGTCTACTATATGCTAGGTACTCAAAGTTTCTGGACCATTAGACAAGCCACAGGCAGTGTAGTACAGAGTGCATAGGCTCTGATAGGGAACCCAGGATGCACAGAGGAACCAAAGGGGGCTAGTTCACCCACTGGCCAAATGTGGGACAATTTTATAATTTATAATTTTATAATTTATAATTTTATAACAATTATAAGTTGTTATAATTTTTTAAAAGATTTTATTTATTTGACAGAGATCACAAGTAGGCAGAGAGGCAGGCAGGGTGGGGGGGAAGCAGTCTCCCCACTAAGCAGAGAGCCCAATGCGGAGCTTGATTCCAGGACTCTGAGATCATGACCTGGGCTGAAGGCAGAGGCTTAACCCACTGAGCCACCCAGGCACCCCAATAAATTGTTATAATTAATAATTTTAAATAATCCACTCTAAGAATCCTTTGGGTCCATACAGACAATAAACAAACAAGTATGAGATAAGGGGACAGCCGGCTGGCTCAGCTGGGGGAGCATGCAACTCTTGACCTCAAGGTTATACGTTCGAGCCCCATGTTGGGTGTAGAAGTTACTTAAAAATAAAATCTCTACCTCTTGGAGTTAAAAAATAAATAAATAGGGGTGCCTGGGTGGCTCAGTTCATTAGGCAACTGCCTTCAGCTCAGGTCATGGTCTTAGGGTCCTGGGACGGAGCCCTGCACTAGCTGGCCCCCTGCTCAGCAGGGAGTTTGCTTCTCCCTCTCCCCCTCCTCCCAACTCATGCTCTCTCTCTCAAATAAATAAAATATTTTTAAAAATAAATAATAAAATAAAATAAAATCTTTTTTAAAAATAGGGACACCTGGGTGATAGAGTTGATTAAGCCTCCAACTCTCGGTCTCAGCTCTGGTCAGGATCTCATGGTCCTGGAATCAAGCTCTGTATCAGCCTCTTTGTTCAGCAGGGAATCTGCTTGGGATTCTCTCTCCTCTTCCCGCCTCTCCCACTTGTGATCTCTCTTTCTCAAAATAAATAAATCTTAAAAAATATATATGAGATACAGAAAAGCTCTTCCTTACAATAGAATGTCAGTTAAATAAATGGGAAAGGAATGATAGATTTAGAGAAATCATGATTTTACACCCATCATAGTAATGATTGATTCAGGCAAGGATCATAAATGGATACTAGAATTAATGGGCCTAAGCTTGGTGAGGACTAGGGTTTTTTGTTTTTGTTTTTGTTTTTTTTTTCAAGAGCAAGATTTTATTTTTTATTTTTTTAAAGATGTTATTTATTTACCTGACAGAGCGAGAGAGCAGAAGCAGGAGGAGCAGCAGAAGGAGGGGGAGAAGCAGGCTCCCTGCTGAGCAGGGAGCCCAACACCGGACTAGATCCCAGGACCCTGGGATCATGACCAGAGCTGAAGGCAGACGCCCAGCCCTCTGAGCCACCCAGGTGCCCTTATTTATTATTTTTTAAATAAAATTTTATTTATTTAAGTAATCCCTCCACCCAAGGTGGGGCTCGAACTCACAACCCTGAGATCAAGAGTCACATGCTCCACTGATTGAGCCAGCCAGGTGTCCTAAGGAACAGGATTCTAGATCAAAGTATCTCCCCACAAATTACTTACTAATTATGAGACAGGGAGAGAGAGGGAGGATAACTACCCTCAAGAAACCTGGTGGCTACCACTAAACCAAGTGGTTGAAGTTAGCATCACTAATAATGAGACACACTAACATCGTGTGCCTCTTGGTGTGAGTTACTGAGAAGGAGGCAACCTCTCTCGTGTGATATTCTTGCCCCAAATGCACAATTCTAATTATGAGCAGACATCAGACAGACCTAAACTAAGGGACATTCTACAAAAAAAATGTCCTATACTCTTCCCAAAATGTCAATGTTATGAAAGATTAAAAAGGCTGAGAAACTGCTCGGGATGAAAGGAGAACAAAAGACTTGAAGATGAAATACACTGCATGAGCCTGTACCGGATCCTAGACCAGGGAGCAAACTTATATAAAGGACGTCGTTGGGACAATTAGTGAAATTTGAATAGTATCTGTATGTTAAATATAGTATTGAGTCAATGTTAAGTTTTCTGATTAAGTTTCTGATTATCATTTCTGGCTTTCTGGTTATATATGCCAATATCCCTGTTTTTAGGAAATAACCAATGAAGTATTTATGGGTGAAGGGCATTATGTCTGCAAATTACCCTTAGATCAGAAAAATAACAATAAATGTCTTTTTTACAGAGAGAAAAATTAAAATGTGATAAAATGTTAATACTTGGTGTCATTGG